GTTCTGCAGACCTGCATCTGCTGTTGCATCTTTTTCTTGTCCACCAGCAGCGCCTGAGCACGTTCCTCCTCTTCATCCAGCCTCGCCTCCATCTCATGGAGGATCTCCTCCAGCTCCTGCTTCTTTGCCGCCAGACGGACCCTCATCTCCTCAGCCTCAGCATACAACTCTGTCTCTGCCTGAAGCTGCTCCTGCAGCGCGTTCCTTTCCTCCACAATCTGTTGAACACCAACAGAAAAAGATTGAACCCAGCTTCATTAGCAGCAGACTCCCGGATAGACCATGAATAATAGCTTATTATTACTGATTAACTTTCATTCATGTATTTACAAAAAAATTAACATGAAATAGGTAGTTAGACACTGTTTTAGAAGGCTGTGACATAACAAGAAAGCTAAAGATGATTTGTGAAAGTGCTTGTGTAACTGTAGCAGGTTTTATCCTTTACCGATGTGTGTTTCAAGCTGATTTCTTTGAGCTCTGACTCAAACTTTGTCGCAACTTCTTTGGCTTTCTGCAGCTCTTCCTCCTTTAGACCCATCTCTTCCTCCTGTCGGGTCACTTGCAGGAGAGGCTTGACCTGCGATTGAGAAGAGTAGGCAAATAAAATCTTTACACATTAGCCAGAGTCATTGTTTGTAACTGATTGTTCCAATAGTTAGGTATTTGAAGAATTAATTCTATATAAAGATAAGAAAGGGGAGCCTGAAACACAAGGCTGCACTCTGGTGTTTGTGCATTAACATGTAGCATGATTAGTTGACCTTTGTGAAGAGCCTCCACCACTGCCAGTTCCTGAGTTTGAGGTAGGCAGCACAGTTCCTCTGGATCACCTTCATGGCTGTCAGCTGCTGTTGTAGCTTGGCAAATGCCCTTTAAAAACACAGCAGGAGAACCATTAAATCAAATAGCATGAAGTGCAACATGAAGAATTTTCTAATTTATGACCCTAAAAACAACAAGAATAAAAATTATAGCTCTAAAATCCTCCCTTTACTGTGACATAAATACGGCCAAAACACCGTTTAAAAGCCTGGATGTGCTGAAATTGTGAGGAGTGTAATGCATCCCAGACAGCTTCATTAATTAGAGGGTTAAGTGTGTGTAGGGAGGTTTGTGTGTTCATACTTTCTGGCGAGGAAGCCTCTAGCCTGGGCCTGGAAAGCGATGATGATCACAGTGATCTTCAGATCTCGCTCCTCTTCCAGTTGGGCGAGAACTCCTGTGCGGAAGAAGATTTTACTCTGTCCAATCCGGTACAGGTTGGGGTCCAAGTCCAGATGCTTGATCTACAACAATACAACAATGCAGAAGATGAGGTGGTGACAGCTCACACGGGATATGAACTGTAATGAATTTTAGTCAACACGGAGTGTAATTTTGAACTTGTGTGCTTACCATGAGGCAGCAGGCCTGTTTGCCATCCATGAAGCCTTTGGGAATAGCACTAGCAGCCAAAATCTCATAACTGTGGAGAGAAATAAAGATTTCACATGTAACCGTTTAAGAAATGGGTACAGACATATTATAAACTGTAATTTGAAACATGACGCCCATGTCGACATACTCACCGCTGGCGAAACTCCTGGAAAACAATTCGGTTGGGGAAACCTTGTCGGCAGATTCTGATTCCCTCCAGCACACCGTTACACCTCAGCTGCTCCAGGACCAGGTGAGCATCCAGCTTCCCTGCCTGAGCAGAACAGGATTTCAGTTTTATTATGCTTGATTGTATGAGCTAAATACAGATAACTTCCCTAATTCTTGCTGGATGCTGTGTTGCTGATAATGTCTTCAGAAATACATCCATGTATAAGTTTGATTGTGAAGAGACGGAAGCACCGGATTGGTTGCAAATTATGAGTTGAGTGATTATCAGCATGGTCGATTATCTGATCCGGTATTCAACCGTTTTTTTTTGTTTGTTTGTTTTTTTAAACCATTTCACAATAAAATAAAAATGCTACTTTTGCTCTGATGCAGCAGCCTATCTGTAGTCACCTCAGGAGTAATAGATTATTAAAACTAAAAGATAAATGTTGAAAAGTCCTCTTTTAACTAAACATATAAGACACAGATAAACAAAGGGATTTCAACTAAGTTTTTGTGCTGGAGTTTGTGCTTTTATAAATTTTGTTTTCTCTCCTGCAAATGTGTTTTAGTTCCAAATATCAGTTATTGTCTTCCTTGACAACTAATAATCGGTATCGGACCTGAAAAAACAGATCAACTGACCCCTAATACAGACAAAACAATAACATTATGCTTTGTGTCAGGCATTGCAGCGGTTATCTCTGCTGCACATGATTCCTGGTTTCTGTCACAGCCGATCAACATTGAAGGATAAATGTTGAGAAATCCTCATGTAATTAAACATACAAAGCATAAAAGGGTTTATGAATAAATGGAGTTTATGTCATTCTAAATTTTGTCAACAAGATTTCTATTTTTTACCACATATCATATAACTTCGTATTAGTTCTATCAGTTGGTCTCCTTGATTATTAGTAACTAGTATTGGTATCAGCCCTGGAGAAACCATCGGGATCGATCCCTATTGTGAATGCTTTTAATAAAAAAAATAAAATAAAAAAAAAAGATTTTTATACAGAACACATATCTGTTATCTCACTTGCTGCGAGGCAATGCTGCTAACTACGGACAATTTAGAATCCTCAATTAACCTCAACATATTTTTGGACTGTGCGGGAGGAAGCCAGAGAACCCGGAGAGAACCCACGCTGCACAGGGAGAACATGTAAACTCCACACAGAGAGATCCTAGGTGTCCTCACGGGATGCGAACCGGAGACCTTCTTGCAACGGTGCTAACCACCGTCCCACTTTGCAGCCCCACAATGATCATAAAGACCTTAAAGATAAAAGAACCAAGCTCTCACGAGAAGTTACATCTTGGCTGTTAAATGCAATAATATTATCCTGACTGTGTAATATCTGTTTATTTATGCTGTTCCCAGTTTATCTATTCTATGTGAGTTGTTGGCTTTATCCTTTTGTCTTTTTATTTTGCAATTTTATTCTATTTATACCACCCAGAAGAGTAGCTCCAAAATTTCGTTGACAATAAAGGGATTCTATTCTACTTTATTCTATGACTCCAAACAGATGGATACATTCTGGACAGATCACTATTCGGTGATAGTTCAGTTTTTACTGCCCTTGTCTGAAAAAATATGTCTGGTCAAATGGATTTTTCATCTACAATACTGATTGTTTTCTCGCTGCATCCTGAACCAAACTTTGCCATAAGAGCTGAAATGACAGAGCGTTCCTTACTCTCTTCTCGTGGTTCGGGATGATGCATCTGACAAAGTTGGGCTGGGTGTTGTGCAGCGTGGTCATGAGTTTAGCCAGAGACTCCTTGTAGAGCTGCCCGACTGTGCGGAACATTCCCTTCTTGGTCTTGGAGGCGCTCGGCATGGAGCTGTCTGTCATCTTGGCTATCGTGTCGAGACCCACGACTCTGTCCGCTGAAATACCCAACACAAGTTAATCAGATGCCCTAATATGTTATCTGTAGAAATAAAACTCCAGATGAAAACAGGTGCAGTGTATGTAAGTGAATAGAGGGTCATAAAGTCTCACAATCTTTCCAGAGTTCTTGCACAAACTGGCTGGAGGAATTGTTCAGCAGTGATGTGACGTTGTCATTTAGAGGGTCCATGTTCTTTGTCAGCCAGGCTGTGGCATTATAGTCTACCTAAAAACAAAACAGCACCAATGGTATGTAATGAGCTTCACTGATATAAGTGTACTTTTCCCAAGATTTCTGCATTCAGAGCAGAAATGTTGAGTAATTATGATTTACATTTTCAACTGAAGGTAAGAACCATTTTACCATTTTCTACACATCCCCTCATACTCACCTTCCCGGCATAATGAAGAATAGAGAACTCTGTTTTGTCTTTAAGCTGCTTTGGTTTGGCAAATTTGATGTGGTTCCCTTGTGTGTTCATGAGTTTCTCCACAAAAGAGATATCTGTGGCTTTGGGGAACCAGCACTCTTCATCCAGCAGGGCCAGGATGCCAGGAGGGTTGTTCTGCAGAGAAAATGCAATGATAACTAAGTCTTACCAAAAATAAGACCTATCCTACTGAATCCCAAAGTATCTGCGCTAGGCCAGGGATCTTATTCAGCTTAACCTTTAAGAGCAGTGGATTCAACAGACACTGGGATCTTATCATCTCATTACTTACCGGCCTCTCGATGAGCTCAATACAGGGTTGCAGGTCAAGGCCGAAGTCGATGAAGTTCCACTCGATGCCCTCCCTCTGGTACTCCTCCTGCTCCAGGATGAACATGGTGTGGTTGAAGAGCTGCTGCAGCTTCTCGTTGGTGTAGTTAATGCACAGCTGCTCGAAGGAGTTGTCCTGCAACAACCAGAAGACAAAGTTGAGGACACAAATCACACAGCATTACCTTTTTTGTATGTCGTGGCGTCCGTCTGGTCACATCCGACTCTTCTGTGATCGACGTACCTCAAAGATCTCAAAGCCGGCGATGTCGAGGATTCCCAGGAAGGAGGCTCCCTGGCGTTTGGTCTTGTCGAGGGCTTTGTTGACTCGGGCCAGAATCCAGCGGAACAGTCGCTCAAACACGGCCTTGGCCAACGCTTCGGTAGCAAAGTCAGCCTAACAAATGCACAGGAAAGAAGAGACCAGAGATGATGGTTGCGCATTCTTCAAATGCAGATCTTATACATGTATCCTTATGCTTTCAAGTCGTTCACTCCTTGTAGTACCTGCTCTTTGGTTTGGGCCTTCTGCACCACCTCCCTGCCCACTTTGATACGAGGGGTGAGCATGGCTCGGGTGAAGTCTGTCACATTGATACCTTGAAGGTGGCAAACCTTCTGGGCAGCTGGAAAGACAAGAAGAAATGCAAAGTTTTATGTTTCTTTCTTGTATGTATATGCTTTGCTCAAAGCCACAGCTTAAAAAGTGGACTTTAAATTATAGATTGCCCAGCTGCTAACTGCATGCTAATGGACTTTCTTATAGTAAGTGTGTCTGACCGGTGTTGTCTGGCATAGTGGCCTGTTCCTGGTTCCTCTCTTTCTTAAATTCAATGTTTCCCAGCTGCATGACTGTGGAGCAAACCTTCAGGATGTCTGCAACAGGAAAGCAAATAGTTAGCATCACAGAACTACACACAGCAGCAGAAACAAAGGGATATATTTTATAGTGTAGCACAGTGTCAATGGTATCTTCAGATGCTTCTAGCAGTAAAAGAGTTAGTTGACACTCACTTGCAGTGGTGGGACCTGATAAAAACTATAATTAGGCTATAATTAGTCTTGAAGTCATAAAAAATGCATTTTAACGGAATCAGGCACAAAATAACAATGCCATTCATGTATCAAATAGTCTAATAGTAGTAAAAGGTGCAGGAGTGACTGGACACATGTGAGCCACTTTAAATCACATCTCATAAAACTGATACCAATTCTCTCCTCTTCGGTGAAGCCCATGATGTTCATGGCCTCCATGGTCTCTTCGTACAACTCATCATCTTGCTGTCCAGTTATCTGAACGTGGCCGGCACTCAGGAAGCGGTAGTTACTGAAGGGTTCCAGAAGAAGCTCCTCTGACAGTAAAAAACACAAGATTAAAGGGTTAGTGACTTCAGATTTAGCTGTTCATGAATTTGTTGCTGCTGTAAGAAAAAAACGCGAGTGGTCATTAACAACACACAGGAGGATGTTTTTGGGTTTAATTAGACTGTGACTGAATATCAGTTGTAGGATTTTAGACTTCTGTGAGTTTGGAGAAACTTCCTTACAATGTAACTAAAACATGAATGAAAGTAAAATGGAAACCAAAACCAGCTTTCCCTTTTTCCTCACTGAAATTTTGATTTAAGAGAGAGTATATGAAACTTTCACACGACACAGATGATATACACCGCTAACTGTTTAGCAGTAATAATACTGAGTTAATGAGAGAGAGAAAAGAAGTGATTTAGAATGAGGTTTGAGGTAATAATGTTATCATGGTTTAGATCATTATCTCACCACGCAGTTTGTCTTTAGCACCAGCAATCATGTAGTAGAAGATGTGAAAAGCTCTTTCTGTCTTCGCCTGTCTGATACAGCGAGACTTCTCCAGCAGGTCTGAGAACAGTCAGCTGTTAAAGAATTTACAGTAAATGTGCTTTCTGCTCAGTATATAAACATCTGTTCAGCCCCAATGATACAACCTAAATTACACATCCAAAGTAAGAAAAGATGACTATAAGTGCCTGAAATATATTCTTACTGAACAGTTTCTAACAGCTAAAGCTCCTGAAAATGTTTAGAAATAAAATGCACAGCCTTTTTTCTTTTTTTGGCATTAAACTGAACATTTTTATGTCTTGTTTTTGAATATTACTCAAAAACATCAATAAGCCTGAACGTGATGACATCCATTATAATGAACTTCTGGGGCAGATGAAGCCTGAGAAGTCAGATAATTTGTTTTCTCAGAAACAGCATAGAAATGCTATAGGTTAGGGAATAATTAAGGATACAAGTCTCAATGTTGGCTCCAACAATGTAGCCGGTCACATCAAAGTTGATACGGATGAATTTACCCTGTGAGAGAGATCAGGAAGGTAGAATATACAGGGTGAAGTGGTGTGATTTCAAAATAAAACATGCACAAAGTATAAATCAGAAAACAGTTTAAAGATACAGAAGAATCACAGAAAAAACCTATTTGAAATATTTATTATCCAACTCACAAATCGGGAGGAGTTGTCGTTTTTGATGGTTTTAGCATTTCCGAAGGCCTCCAGGATGGGATTGGCCTGCAGGAGCTGCTTCTCCAGCTCCCCCTAGTGATGACAGTGATACAAAGAAATGTCAATAAGAAGCACTGATTGAGGTGGAGTGTGATAGGAGGTGTTTGGTGGGGATGAGGTGGTTCAGAGTGGGTGTTGGTTAGGGACATTATCAGTGATGAGAGAGAAGAAAAAATAAAAAAAAAAACAGAAGAAGGACTGAGTTGGCTCCTTCCTAATCAGTAAATATGACAAGTACATCTATAACAAGGTGAAAGAGGATAATATAACCCCAGACTAATCTCCTACAGTATATTATGCAACACAGACACATGACCTAAAGACCATCAGCTCTGAGAGAAATCGGTAAAATGAGGAGAAGCTGCTGCTGCTCCTGATGTTGATGATGAGGAAACAGAGTGTGAGAATGAAGGTCATGTTGGGTCACACAAGGCATCCGCATACTTCTACCAGCGCAAAAACCCAATGAATCACGACAAAGTCTCTGCATTCGACATGTCGGGTGAATTAAAAATGATTCTGATTCGCAAACAGCCTCTCTGGAGATGCGATTTGCTTCCAGCGTGACTGCAGAGGTGGCGTAGAGCTGGGCGATGGTCGGCAAATGAGGCAGACACCCCGTCACTGAGCATCGAGCTAATCCACCTGATCAAAGGGATCCGTCTTAGCCTGCATCCAGGTCAGGTGCTGCAGACCTCTGCCTAAACTCCCCCGCTAGAAAAACACCCTCTGCAGCAGCTTTTGTAAATGAACTAAAACCAGGAAAGAGGAGAGGAGCACGACCGGTGTTAACACTGTGATTAAGAATGGTTAATGGTGAGATGAAAACAAGACAAATGATGGACATGTTCAGATATTTGGTGACTTCTGAGCTCAGTTTCATAATATGGTGTTAAGAGTGATGACAAATTAAAAAAAAAAAAAAAAAAAAGTCTGTTAGAAGACTGTTTTCCACATCTAAATGAGGAGAGTTAGATATAACCTGACTCTTCTGTTGGCTCTTTTGAAATATTTGTGCTTTTGCTGACGTGTTGGGTAAAGTCTAGCCATCAGAAGATCAGCTTTTTTTTCAATGTTTAAGGAAAAACAGGAGGATACAGACCCGCCGAAGAGGTGCAGTTGAGAGTTGGCAAAGCACAGAGGAAGGTCCTGTTTATTTAAAGTCACTGGGGGGAGAAAAAAGGAGAGAAAAGAAAAGCAGAAACAGAGCACAGCAAGACGAAAGAGAAAGTTACAGCTGATGGGGAGGATTCTTCTTCGAGACTTTGCTTAAGTGCAAATACTTAAGAAAATAGATGAGCAGCAGGAATCAAAGAAGCAGGGAAAAGGGATCAACCCAATGCTATTTCTGTTCAGGCGAGGTCCGTGGGAGCCTCGAGGTCCTTCAGGGCATTATTTCCTCTGGGAAAACCGTCTCATTGACCGACATCTTTTCAACACATACTCCCCAAAACTACACCTTCATCGTTGCTCAAAAAGAGTTTTTATTAAAGGCTTGACTGAGCTTTAAAAACGCTCACGATGGGGTTTGTTTTTTTTCAGGAACTCCACAAACCAAAGGATCTGGTGGTCTGCATCAGGGCATTTGGTGAAGGAGAGGAGGAGAGGAAGGGGAGGTAGGGGGGAGACTGGTGTTTGATAGACAACAACAGGAGATGGGCATGCTCACACGGTGCTCGATTGATCTGTGAGAGATCCTTTCACTGTCAGGGAGGTTTCAGAAGAATCTCCGCTGGCAGTGAAAGGGTGTCCAAAGAAGACGGATGACAAAAAAATAAAAATAACAAACTCCACATGGTAACCAGTTCAGGAGGCAAAACTAAACGTCTGTCACTAAGGTCTGAAAAGTGACCACGAGACAAAACTCTGATGATGATCATGCAGCCTAAATCAGCTCTGGTTGTAGGGTCAACACCATCTACCCGAAGAGCACTAAGATTCTTGACTAAATGGTGTAAATGTTGTTGTTTTTTCTTTCAGTGACACTATCTTCATGCACTTCACTAATCTAAAGAACACACACAAACACCACACACAAACAAAAACACACTCCAGGCATTCCCCTTTACTCACGTAGGCAAACTGTGATCCTGATTGTTGCTATTTGAAAGGAAATGGCAATATACAAGATTAAACTGGGCAGTTTCCCACATACGTCAAAGTGTGAGGGAACTGACGGCTGACAGATCAGAGCTAATGTGACGTCTTCACACTTACAGCGCTTGAGTCCTTCTTGCCTTTGTGTGAGGAGGCAACGACTGCCAGATACTGGATGACCTTTTTGGTGTTCTCCGTCTTTCCGGCACCGGATTCACCGCTAGAGAGGGAAAAAAAAAGAGTGAGAGCAGGATTAAAAGACACAGAGGAGAGACCATGAAGATAAGCAGCACAGACAGCGTCTCTGTTCACAGTTCAATAACCCGGTTTAATGGAATGGAAATCATGTGCAGCAGAGATAACCGCACAACGCCTGACTCAAAGCATAATGTTATTATTTGGTCTGTATTAGGGTTGTTTTTTCAGGCCTGATACCGATTATTAGTTTAAAGGGGGACTAATAACTGATACTTGCCGTAAAGACAAACTCCAATGCAAAACTTTGTTGAAATGCTCTTGTTTATTTATGCTTTATATGTTTAATTATAAGAGAACTTTTCAACATTTATCCTTTAGTGATGATTGGCTGTTACTCATGATGTTTAACCAATCAGATTGTGCTGTGGGCGGGACACACAGATAGACTTCTGATAGAGAGGCAGCTGCATCAGAGCCATAATAGCACATTTTTGAGTAAATTTGTTTTATCAGAAATTGGTAAATAACCAATAATTTGAAAAAAAGCTGACTATCAGATGCGACAATTCGCCAGGCCAATAAGTAATTGACCCTTAAGCTACACTGATTCTTTAATAATCAATAAGTATTTACTGAAAAATGTTATTTAAAAGTTTGAAGATTAAATCAGTCCACATATTTTAGAGCTTTATAGGAAAACATTGTCATTATGGGAAGTTGTTTATTTGCTTTCATGCTGGAAGTTACTTGAAAAAATGTCAAGCTTCTTCTAGCAGTTGCTTCGTTACAGTCGCTTAGCGTAAAAATGGAAAAAAGGCACAGCTTTTTTTCTTCTTGCATTGCAGCCTTTGTTTGATAGCTGACAGTGTTGCAATAGACATATGTTTCCGTCCAACTTTAGATTTAACGCTAAGCTAAGCTAAGCTAAGCTAAGCTAACGAGCTGTTGGCTGTAGCTTCATATTTACTGAACAGATTCTCCTTGATAAGAAAGACACCAAAAATCTTAATTTATCGCTTTAAATAAATGCCTGCCTGGAAGTAGCAGCGTTGATCGAGCTACTTGACACCAGTGTGTATACACAGCTGGATGGAACCTCTTATTACATTTTAAAAAATATTAGGAGTTATATGATAGAAGCTGTCAGACTAGTCAGAAATCTACAACATATGTTACCCTTTAGAGATGATATATAACTCAAATGTTTTCAAACAGAAGGGAGAACACATTCTTTCTCTGCAGAAAATGATCTTAAATACTTGAGCGAAAGTTGAATGATCCCAGAGCCATCAGGCACCAGCCAGCGCAGATACAAGCTCAGTCAGGGGTCCTTAAAAGGCATGAGATGCTCTGTGTGTGCTAAGGTTTGGCAGCTCAAAGGGGAATCTAATTACTCTGTCATGTTCAGGTTTGGTGGGGACGCATGACATCCAGGCTCCAGCAGTTAACTCAGGATAAACTCCAGTGAGTTTTTCCTCCACGTTGTTTACCAGAATGTCTCATCCTGCACAGCCTGCTTCACCTCAGTGCAGATTTCACGTACAATTATAAGATTATTTGGAAATATATGTAGAATTACATAATATTCAAATATTCTATTATATCTTGTTACCATCTTGTGGAATGATATTCTTGCTTCCTGTGAACTATTGCATATTTTCATATCCCCTATGCTAAAAACAACATATTACAGCACCTGAAAAATGCAGAGATGCAAGAGGCAATACCTCGTTGAAAGGGCTAAAAATCCGCTAGACAACATAAGTCACAGACAGTCCACTGAGGAAAAATCCCCACAGTTCAGAAGGCTAAATTATAGGCATTCCTTCATTAATGCACCTAAAGACTTTAAATCCTCAGCAGGGTCACACAAGGATGCAAATCTGTGCATTTCACCAGCATCCTGTCACTTTACAGTCCGGTTTTTACACACGTGCTGAACATCAGGCCGAGGAAACTGGTGACCCTGCTGAGACGCAATGTCAACATCTCGAGAATAGATTTAGCAGCCTCCCAGCTCTTTCCCATGACAAATTCTTGCTAATATGTGGAGGAATCTGTGGAATATTATCACCACTAGAATCACCACGATACACTCAGTGATCAGAAAATACAGCAGAAACCTGTGACTATCTAACAGTACTGACTTGAACATTTGACTTGAGACTGTATTGGATTATCAGTTTTGTGGCAATATTTGTGCTGGTGTTGAACTAATAAGTTAAATTGTAGAGATTAATTAAAACTTTCCTTAATTTTTTATAAAATGTTACAAAATGTTTGAAACATAGCCACCCAAACGCTGAGATTATTCTAATGAATTCTTTTACTCTTTGAACTTCAAGTAATTTCTGTGTGTTTATTTTTTTGCTCCAGTCACATTTCTACTCACTGTGGGCTCATTTTTTTACAGCAAAATAAAGTCCCGCGTCTCTATGGAAACAGCAGAACCATGACTACAAGTATCTCAAACATGTTTTGTGCAGAATTACAGTCGCACCGTGAACATACAAATATAAACACAGTCTGCAGTTCAGCCAAAAAGTCTCTGAATTTTAATCATGTGTCTGTTGGTTGCAGTCACTAATAGCATCACAACTGTGATAAGGAGTAAGGATTTTTTTGTTTTTATACAGAATCTGTTTAGAGCAAATTATTTAATGTTATAAAATGAGACACGTAGAATAAAGTGATGAAATGTCACAATGTTAGATTTGGTTTTAAGTCACAGATGAGTAGTTCAAGGGCCGTCAAAAGTTGGACATTGAACCATTCCTGCTCTTTTTACAGTTTGTGGCTCTGAAAAATGGTGTGATTTTGACAATTAATTAAAGACAGCTTGTCTTTCAAACCCGCTATTGGGTTTGGGAGCTCAGAGGGTTATTAAATAAATAAATGTATTATTGTGTTATTATTAAGAAATACTTTTGTCAGCATCTACATCTCACAGCAGGGTTGGTTGGTATTGTTGTCATTTACAATAAATAAAGGAGTTAAAAAAGTTTTAATGTGGAAATTTATGCAACAAGCTATTCTAAAACCTTATCAGACAAATTTTTACGGTTTTTAAGGAATTTTGGTTGATCCTAATGGTCTTAACTTTTTTCTTAACAATATTTTATACTTAAATTATTTCTAAATACATTTCACAAACTGCCATCCTGCTTTGCCTTCTTTTAGTTTTTTAAAATATTTTTTTTTGTTTTTGTTTCTACAAATTGATTCTTTATCCTGTTTTGCTTTTTGCACATATTTTTGTTGCCGCCCGGTTTTCTAAACAACTGCTGCTGCAGAATTGACTTCTTCAGAGTAATTTTAGAAGTTGTGCCAGAAGTCTGTGATTGACTTCATCTAATTTGACCGAAGACGTGTGAAAGTTGAGTTACAGGAAATCCTACCAATTAGATTAACAGAAGTCTCCCATGAAAACAGAACAAATACTTCCACTGAACAGCATGCTGTGAAGATACGAGGCTCCTATTATGGATTGCTATTAAACACACATGTACATTCACACGCGGGAGGAAAATGTCATAAATGACATTCCACATAGAAACATTTCTCCCTTTTATGGCTCCAGAAGTCTGCTGAGGCTCAAAAAAATCTCAACAACCACATGGACTCGATGTTCCCAAAGAGGCAGAGTTTGTATTTGAGCTCTGCTGTGTCATATCACTTCCAGTTTATCATTTTTAAAAATAGCACTTCATGTAACTCTCTCACAAATAGCATCAAACACTGCGGTACTGTTAACCACCAGACCTCCCCTCCATAAACTGGGATAAAACCTTTCCAGTTTCCCTCTGATAAAGAAGCTTAATAGTTGAGGAAATGGTTTGATGTGATCAAAGAATTTGCTGCATCCTGGTTTCAGGAAATTTAGAGGAGAAAGAGGAAGAGCATTTTCTCTCACTTCCGTTGCTGAGAATACTGAGCACCAAAGGTTGCGTCGTTATTTCTAAAATAATAAAGGAAATATTGCAATCTGTATGTTACCTGGTTGATGCTGATGAGCCAGTTTAAATGACTGAGTAGAAGAAGAACACATTAAGGCCCTTTAAGGTGCACTTTGTGAAATATTTGGGGCGTCCTTATTTGTTTGAAATATTGCAAAAATGTCTTCTTTCTTCAAACTTGTCCTTCTGTTTATGCCGTACATTTACACTGGAAGTGCACAGACCACAAGCCAGAGGGATGATCATTATACTAGTATGTGAGGGAAGAATTTGTTTGTAAAGAGTGGTAAAGGAACCTAAAAAAAAATGAAGAAATGAAAGCACACAGAGAAAAACTAGTTAATTCACTATTTTAACTTTGTTTTCTAAGAAGCCAGGTTCAGGTCAGTTCAAAGATCAGACCGTCACTGCCAGAGAAAATGAGTCCGTTTGTCTCTGGATGTCCTGTCAAAGTTCCCAATAATTAGTTTAAAACAAATAAACAAACAAAATGGAGCCCAAACATTTGGAGAGGCTAATCTGGTTCTCCCATCAGTGTCTGGGCCGTACTTCCTGACCGAGGGTCTGAGAGGAGAGCGAGGCCACAGCCCTGTGGGAGCGCTGTGAAGGCATTAATGCTCATCCAGCTCGGCTCCATTTGAGAACAACACGACTCCGCAGCAACGCAATCTGACAAACAAAATGATTTTTTGCTGGCACCAGCGGTTGAAACTGGGTGCTAAGAGACCTGAGAGGTATCTCGCTTGGTGTGTTTACAGAAGCATTATGTAACTGTTCTTCCACTCATGCAGATGTGTCCTCCCTCCTTGTGTTTATGTGAGGAATGAGATGAAGGAAAGATGACACAGGTGAGTTTGGAGGTGACGGATTTTTACTTACGTGCAGAGAATGGACTGGTCCTCACGATCTGCAGAAACAGAGAGTTACAGCGTGAGGAGACTTTTACAGCAACTTATTCTACAAATGCACAGTAGCAAGTGTCCAGATAGTGTATTAAACTATAACAGTGAGGTGGTAACCCAAAGGAATCTTCAAAAACCAAAGCACAAATAGTAAGTAATAGTAAGTAATAAGTTTTTTTTTTTTCTTCTTCCCTCCTTGTCCACCTTATGTTGAGCATGTACAACAGCACAGTGAAACCACAAGTTGTTCTGCAAGACTAAAGATCAATTTAGTGTTCAACTTCAGACACCAGCCAAGACTCTGTGCCTAAAGAAACATGTAAGTTCCACAAATACTTTGACTTTCGCTCATGAAAATCAACTCAGAATGTGCTGAGCAATGAGTCATTGTTCTGTCTCTTAAAATATTCCTGGGAGATTACAACAAGTCCATGTAAGGTTAAACTGTAACTGTATCCTTCGATTTGGGGGAGTGTGGGCAACACTGAAGGACAGATAAGTTTGCTTTCAGTTTTTTGATTGTAAAAGATCAAATGTCACACGATGTAGACTCTTAAAGTGAATGACGCCTTAGAAGTGTGCAGCAAGAAATGACCCAGAGAGCATCATTTAGTGTCGAAACATTCATAGCTGGATTTAACATCCACTCGTGCAAGCTGTGTCAGGATGTGAGAACCAGCTAAAACGTTCTCACTTTCCCAAAGTTTCCTCACTCCCCAAGTCCAAAACTCACAAACTGGTCCACACACACACACACACACACACACACACACACACACACACACACACACACACAAACAGAGTTACAGTGCGCAGCCTCCCCTCAATTGTAAACTAACTCGGATGCCGTTTCTCGGTTTGGACTTCACTTTGGCTGCTGTTCCTGCTGGTTCCATTCCTTACATACACACACAAAATGCAGCCTGTTCCCTCACTACACTTCCTAATTAAGGCAGAGGCAGAAAGAGAGAGAGATGGGGAAGAGATGGAGTGAGAAAAAAGACAGAAAGAGATGGCCAGATTGGTGAGTTTTTGCAAAATATCCAACAACAACAATGCTCACTTTTGGACCAGTGAATGAGACTCAGAGAGGAGATGACATTTTTACATGAGAGATTTGGTGATGTGCCGTAAATCTGATTACAAAACAGTCACTTGTGAATACCCCCAGAGCTCAGAAAAACAGCACATCGGTCATCTGCTGCAGGGGGGACAGCAGACTTCCGACGAGAATTTCACATTTTTATCACTTGGACATCAAAGCCTGAAGTAGAGTTTTGGAGAACTGGGATCTCAGCCAAGACTGAAGGAAAAATGTTTCAAAGCTTAGGAGGGTTATCTGGATTTGCTGCAGTTATGCACCACTTCCACTCTAATGTGTGAACTGTTCGTACTGCAGCGCTCAGTACTGAACATCCTGCGTTATTAGTCACCACTTCATGGGGAAATCCCACCAGTGTATCAACAATAACAGTCAGCTTCATTTTTAAAATAAAGGCTCACAGAGAAGTCATAGGTTTGTAGCTTTAGTCTTAACCTTTTGGTACTTAGAGACTTAGAGAAAATATTCATACTGACCATCATAAAGCTTTACAGTTCTTGGATACACAGTATTGTTTGAATAACATTGAGAATACAAAAAACAAGCTTTCCTATACGAGAAAAATATCACATGTCACACGATAAACACTCAGAACTTGAGAGTGGGTCATTTTGGCGATTTCTTAAAAACATTTATCCGAATCAGAAACTGTAAAAACTGAAAGAATTGTCGGATTTTCAAGTTACAGTCGTTAAACTTATTACTTATTATTAATATTCTGTTTTGTTGGAAAAATTATTCAAATATAAGCTTAAAATGAGGACGACAAGTAAGCATTTCATTGAAATCACTTAATTCTACACATCTCTTTAAAAAAAAACAAACATCTTTACTCAAACCAGATTCTAAAAAGAAAATTAAAAGCTAAAATTCTGCACTTTTCGATCCAACTGGAAAACCATGCGTGATTCAGCGGCGACACGTGACATTCAGGAACTTTATGGCTGAACTACATTGAACTGCAGGCTGGGCTTACACAGTGCGGATAGGAGAAAAGTATGGACACAACTGTAAAAGAAAATATAAGTATATGCACATGAAACTAAAATGTAATGCTTTTAGGCATGTAGACTCACCATGGTTTTCAATTACAGATGACAGTTGTGCACATTTTAAAAATGTTGCACACATTGATTCTCAGTTTTTTCAATTGTTGTAAATAAATTATTAAAGAAAATTCAACCCTTGGGCCTTTTTGAATTATTTTTTTTGTGCGTTCATGGCACTATAACTGTGTTACGCTGCACAGATTACATTTCTGACATGTTTCTACTGCTATTCATGGTTCCGTAGAGGTGCACAGCTTTGTATTGCAATAAAAAATGAGGCCACAATGAGTGAAATATAAAACACCTAGCTTACTTTACCGACAAATACCTTACCTCTCCATAAGCACTTTAAGGCCATAATTCAAAGTGTGAAAGCTGAATGGGTGGTCCATAAGCTTCAATTGTCATTTCATTTATCATGAGACTGAGCAAATGTTTAGTCTGAAATTAATGCAGCAAATCAAAAACACATTCTTTTGCATACATAATCCTTTGTGGTTCTTCAATAAACTGAAAAGGATCTCCAACTTTTACGTTCCTCCAGCATGGATGAGCTGAAGAAGCTAATCTAAACACCCACACAAACACTAATCAATCCTCCCCCTTTCTTGTTTACCAGTGACAACGTGTTTACACACAATAGTTGCAGCGGTAAACTCTAATTTCCTGTGTACCGGTTTGTTGGAATGTAAAATCCTCCATGTACACATGTTGCATTAATGACAATTGCACCCCTAGAGTAAGGAGAAACATTAACAGCTGCGTTATCACAGGCCCAATTGGATATTTATATTGCCAGTGCGAAACTAATTCAGAAAATTGAAGACAAACTTGACATTCAGTCAGATGTCATAGAGTATTTCTATTTAGAGCACTTCTTAGGCTTCTCTTGACCAGTCATTCCTAGAAGCAATCAGATATGTCAGATATCATTTCAGCATCACTTAATGAATCAGTTCCCTTAAAATATACACACAGCAACCTAAAGAGGCCACTAAAGAAAAGTAGTTTGAAGCTATACAATTAGCTTTTACATTGTATCTAAGCTTGCTTACATAAAATAAGTTGAAGAACAAACATCAGCCCAGTAGTAGCAACAATATACTCCTGTGTAATTAACTGATCAACCATTTACATGAACCCTAAATAAAGTAAATCGATTTTTGTTTACATTTCACAAAGCACTTAATTTTACTTTTTTAAACTTAATGCTAAATGGTTTAAGAAACTGTGAATTGTCTAATCTGAAGGAAATTTACCAAAACAAGTTTTTTTTTTTCAGGTTAAATGAGAAAATTCAATTAATTTAATAGCAGAAAAGGATCAAACTAGACCCATATTGTGTCATTGGAGCACTTTTTGCATTTATGCTGTTCTTTCTAATTAAGCAGCACACAATCCTTCTGCAATCTTTAAACAGGAGGACCTTTGTGGTTCATAAATAAAGGTTAAGTCGATGCTCCTTCCTTACTCCTTTAAAGCTGTTCTCACAGAGTTTACTGATTAGGAATACAACATATGGCGAACATGTGCAGAAAGATTTGATTTAGTCCAACCTGAAATTGTTTACATGGTTATAGGTACAAATATTTTCTGGTTGAATGGATTGACAAAATGTTTGATGTGATGGAAAATTTTAGACTGGTCTTGTTTGGGGATATCAAAATTACTACTCCGATTCCAGCACAGCGAACGAATAGTCGGTTATTCGGGTCCAGCCCTCATATTTGACATCAAACTAACACATGAATTCTGAGAAAATAATACAATATCTCAGTATTGACAGCTTTCCCTGCATGATCCCGCTGTCTTTGCAGCATTGACTATTTAATGAAGTTCTTTCCAAACATCCTGTTTCATGAGGAAACTCATCAAAGCAAATGAGGAAAACACAATACCAAACCCATTAACACTGACCAAATGAGGAAAAAAAAAAAAAAACAGTTACTAATTTGAATAAGGAAGGAGGGAGGGTGTCTCTGAAACAGGAAATGTTTTACTGTCCTCCACCCATTATTCACCATCTCCAGATGTCAACTCCTCAGAGAGATCATCCTCACGTCAACATGAAATCCAGCGGGCAAGACCTCCTGGAAACTCAAGAAACTGATTCTATGGGAAACCAGCTCTCTGAAATCGTATCACTGCAGGTTTTGCTGCCCAGAGTCATTTACTGTAAGCATGACTCTGCCAAAGCCACTATCGTCACCTCTACGAGACATTGACTCTCAAATAGGCCATAAAATTCTCTTTCAGGGCCGTTTGTGTTTTTAATACCTCCAAATCCGCTTACTTTGTAATGAGCCTGCAGCAGACAGATAGAGCTCTTAGTTTATGGACACGCTTCTGCATTTATTCTGGCCAGTTTGTGGTTTTATTAACCACTTTGTCAACATGACAGAGCTAAAAAGCTGCCAGGAATCATCACCGAGACGAAAGCGAGACTTCTGACAGCTGATACCACACCTCACCCACACCAGGCTCTTAAAGCTACCAGTTTAATTTGACACAAATACAGTTTGCTTTGGTTATATTTGAGTAACACCAGCTCTGGTGTTTTCTTCTTTTCTTTTCCCAGACTGTCATCATTCATTGATTTAATCTGATCAGTTTCGATCAATGGAGGGTGCAGACAGTCTCAGTCTGCTCTGAGCACACAGACCCTCTGGATACATCAGATAATAAGCTCTTTAACATGACTACAAACACACAACATGCTGAAAAGGCACACTTTTTAAAAAAACAAAAACTTTTTTTTAACCAAAATTACACCATTTATCAGAGCTGGAAACTGTAAAGACGGAAATAATTGTCAGACTTTTGACTTTCTAACAGTCCTCAAACTATTCATGTGTGACACACAGTTCCATGGGGAAAAATAACCAAATCTAACCTTAACAATGTCGTATTTTGCCAAAATAACAGTTTTGCATGTCTCCTTTAAACATGTGCCAAAATGCTCTTGTTTCAATAAATATGATTTTGTAAAAGAAAAACAAAAAAACAACTAAACTAAAAAGTCTGAGCTCCTTTGTGCAACTGTAAAACCATAAGTGACTCAGCTGCGGAAAAGTTTGGGAATTTTTCAGATAAACTGCAGGCTGTGTTTACACAGAGCAGACTGGAGACAAGTACAGAGACAAATTCTAAATGAAAAAGCAGTAAAATATGTGTAGTTTGTAGAGTCATCATTTTTCCCAGTATTGGGCATGTGGGAAAATGTTGTTTATGTTAATTCTGGGTTTTTAAAATTTTTGTAAAACAAATAATCATTCAATCATCTTTTTTTTTTTTTTTTAAGGTTTTAAGGCGTTATGGCTAAGTCATCCTGCACAAAACACATTTTTTGATTCTCTCTCCTTCAAGCCATGGTTGTGCTGTTTTCATAGAGTTGCAGGACTTTATACTGCAAGGAAAAATGGGTCAAAATGTGACAATAGCAAAAAAAAGTGACACTACTTGAAGTTCAGAGGGTTAAATCTCTGGTCCACCTGATTTGCAGTGTGAGAGACACTCACTGGGAGAACATCTAAAAAATAAGGAACCAAGAATGAAGGACGGTGAATGATGCAGGTGCATCACAAGGGGAAAAAGAGCGAAGTGAAAATCCTACCTTGCATCATGTTTCTGTAGGCGTTGTCAGTGATGGAGTAGATGTGAGGGGGGACTTCGTGTCGTTTCTTCCCTTTGTACATGTCGATGATCTTCTCTGAGTAGATGGGCAGCATTTTGTAGGGGTTCACCACAACGCAGAACAGGCCAGAGTACGTCTGAGAGCAGAAAGATGACATTAGAACAGGTTGTGCAAACACTTTAAAGTAGCTATTTACATGTCTTTTTCTTTAACTTAACGTGATGAAGTAAATTTGATTGTAAAATGTAATAACTATAGTTTATTGACATTACCAGCATTTAGACTGATTCTCTGTAAGCATTGTTTCCACTTTGCAATACTGCCTTCCACCAGGTCTTAAATTTTCCAAGATGACTAAGGCTCAATTTGCAATAAAGTAAAAGAAGAACTGGAGTAACTGTGGAAACTCTTCTTGGCATAAAAAGAGACTTGTTGAAGGAGGCAAAGAGGGACAGTGATTGAAACTGACATCAAACGAGTGATTTCAGCATTTACTGAATGGAGAGAGCTCTAGGACTTAGGAAGGTTCAAAATAGTTACGTCTACTAGATCAGTAACTAACAAACCTGCCTAATTATTAATACAAGTAGGTGTTATACTCTGCCTTTATCACAGCAGTGAGATCAGGGTAAACTGTCAGTAATTGGGCTTACACAATTGGGATTCATTATAAAGTTGTCATAAGAATACACATCTGGATGTAGTTTTAGATTTGTTTTGGTGTGAAAATGGTTGTGTTTCATGTGTTTATGGGAATACTTACATAAATAAGGCCAGAGAAGTACCTCTCGCGGAGATTGTGCAACACTGAGGCCTCGTTCAGGCAGGTGAGTTCGGCCATGTCCTCCACCTTGCTAAACTTGGGCGGGTTCATCTTCTGGATGTCGTCCTTGTTGACTGTTGCCTTCTTGCCATTATCGGCCAGCTCCACCAGCACTTCGTCGCCGTGCTCCTCCTTGATGCTGGCCGCCTCGAAGCCGTGCTTCTCTGACGGGACCCAGACCAGCTTCTTGGCCGCCCAGTCGGCCTGAGCCATGGGGCTGTTCAGGAAGTCCTTGTCAACAAAGAGGAACTTCTCGTCCTCGGTTGGGGCCTTCTTGGACATCTTGGCTTAAGGTGGAGGGCCAGCTGAAGAGACAAGTGAACTGGGTGTTAGGAAACAGTGAGGGATGGTAGGTGGAAAGTGAGCAAGGGAGGAAATATCAAAGGAAAGCGTAGCGGGGAGAACAAAGCAAAAAAGGAAGGTTGGAATCAAAGATGAGAGTGCAAATATAACAGGACATGATTTTGCAATGATGCGTCGCCTGCAGGTACCAGCAGAAACAGTTTGTGCACAGTTTTCACTAAACACTGCACCAAGTGATGAGTCTCTGAGGGTAGGAAACATGCTGGTACAGTTGCCTCGCACTTTGTGGTTGCTGCTCAAAGAGTTAACATGCTTCATCCATCGGGGAGTTCCAGAGTGCAGCCATTCTCACAGACCTCCACCCCCTCTCAGCTCCACACTTTCACACACTCCAAAAGGGAAACGCACAAACAATTCCCCTGCCTTAGAAAAGACCAAGGCTGGGAAATTGATTTTAATTAACTCAGCAACAAAGAACCATTAGATTTTATCAGCGGCTTTATCTAAAATAACCCCAAATCATTAATACTCGCTGGTGTTTACTCGCACTCAATCATTAAGCCACTGCTTAATTGACAACATCCATTTTTTCCACGTCTTTTGCCTTCCATTCCCTCTCTCTCTCCCCCTCTGTCTCCTGCTAGGAAGGATTCAGTCTCGTGCTGCGATGACCATATATGGGCCCCTTTCTCTGGAGCTGGGCTCTTTTCTGCGGACCTAAACAGCAAGGCAAGTGAACTCCCAAACAAAGCCCATATAGGGAATAGTATGTCTCTCTGCCGGCCTTGTCGTTTACTCCAAAATGATAACAGCGAAGGCAGAGAGCCTGAGGGGGGCCCGGGGCTTTAACAATCGTGCTTCACATGGGCCCCTGGTGGAATTCATTTTTAAATGTAGCAGTGAGTGGTTAAATTATGAACAAGTGTCTGGGACTGTAGCCATGTCTGGGAGTGGTGCCTGCAGTGGGAGGTTATGTAAAATGCAAACAGGGGGAAGGTGCAGGAAATATGGATGCACCTTACATTTAGTCTGCAGTGCAAATACAATCTGTTCTGTACTATGTTCTACACTACACTGCACCTACTGCTAAACAAATTTGGTCAAGGGAAGCTAACACAACTCTAAAATTATACTGCAGAGTGTCAGATGAGGTTGGTCTCTGAAACCCTGAGCAGGAAACTTAATGGTTCCTGAATTACCTCTCTGCACACTGACACACACTCTGAGTGGGAACTTTGCAAAAAAAAAAAAAAGCCACTAACCATCCTGAGAAAGCTTACAAATGCACCCCTGGGAGCTGCAAAATCAAACCACCCAGAAACTACTGAAAGACAAATATTAACTCACAACAGAGACACACACTTCCTATGAGTCGAGTAAGTCCTGTGCACACTTCTGACAGAACAAAAAAAAGCAGCTGATGCTTTGATGATCAGTTATTTCTTCGCATAAAAGTAAACAGCCTTTTCCCGACACTCCCCATGTTTAAGAATCTGCAACCAATCAAGGTGCCTCCTCCTCAACCCCCTTTAACTTTTCTCAGCAGCTCGGCTTCATACTTTCGTAAAGCCTCCTCTCTCACTTTGTGTTGTGTCAACACAGTGTGCGCTCAGTCGGTGTATCTTGAAGACAGTTGTCTGAAGTGGAGCTGACAGGATAGCAGGTTGATGCATACTGACTGGAGTGCTCACAGCCACAATAAGGCTCTATTAGTCAATTTGTGCATTTTTATTTGACTCGAGACTAAACTACCCATACTCTGTTATAAGTAATGTGTTCCCAGTCCTCCCATACGTCACAACCACAGCAGAGCAGCACACAAACTCACGAAATTCAGAGTAACCCCTGAACTCAAAGCATTTCTGCAGATAAACCCTTCTATTTGTTACCACAACTCCTCAAACACTAAGTCTTAATAGAAAAAAATGATCGCAAACTCCAATATACAGGCTGATTATTTTTCTGTCAAATATAATAAACAAGTGGAAATGTCGCCCAGGAGACCAAGTGACCTTTCTATTTGTGGCTGAAAGAGGATGACCTGCAGGGCCAGCAAATGATTTTACTCACTTCCTCTCTCACATGTTTCAAAAACATTCTTTCTCTTATCATCTTATTAACAAACCCCGACACGCCAGGGTTTTCATGTCTTTGTACGACGAGAATTACAGCATGAAAATAAATTAATTAAGTTTCCCCAAAATAGATGCATGATTTGTTCCAGGTTCTACTTGTGCTTTGACTGCACAACTTTCTGGTTTTAATGCAAAACAAACATGGAAGCTAAATAAACTTTCAGCTCATAAGTTCTGTCTCTTTCAGAGATGCCTCAACGATTAAAAGGATAAGTGAAAGCGTTTGGATTAAAGCAGATCCGCTTTATTGCTTCCTAAGTAATCATAGTGTCCATCAGAGTGATAAGTGGAAGTGTAATGTTCATGTTTCTTTGGACTAACACACATTTCAGAGCCAAAATTAATATTAATAGTACAGCTGCAGCAAAGTTGTAGAAATCCACAGTTTAGCTGCAGATAATAATAAACTATTTGTAAAAGAGAAGCACTAACTGAAACAAGTCTACCAAGATGGATAAAAAAAAAAACAACAAAACCATCAGATAAGTTTCACTGGTTAAGTGTGACAGCTGTCGTGAGTCACTTCTCTGCATCTTCATTGTCAACGTGCATCACAGTCATGCAGCTTAGTGCAACCATATTTGGGAAACAGGAAACGGCACGGTTAGTCGCTCAGAGAGTCTGACTGATTTCCCCTTTCTTCCTACTGTACTACACAATACTGCAGCATGGGGCCATATGCATATACATAACCACAGTTTATTAAACTATAACACAAAGTTTACACTCTGGCACACACTAATTAACACACAAATGAGGGTTTGCATACATGATGTGTTCATATATTAATTAGGTAATGTACACTTGATTTGACATTAAAATTGTGGCACTTTGTTCAGTTATTTACAAAAAGATGTATGTAAATTGAAGGCAAAAGCTAACTAAAGTTTTGTAGCACCAAGTTACATCTGAGCACATACAAGCGAATAAATGCACATAAATCCTTCAGCAACAGGTGCACCCCAGTATGTCCCTCTGCAGCAAACGACATACTCACATAGAGTGAAGAAATTCAGGGCAGCTTTGGATTCGGAAAGTTACAGTTTTGGAGAAGCCGGCGGTGACGAGGTACTCCAAAAGCGAACAGTCCAAATGACCCCCGTCAATTTCCGAGCTTTACCATTTAAACTGCGCACTGCTGCCGGAGGGTGGAGCCGCTGCGGACCCTCCTCCTCCAGCATCGTCCGGCCGCAGCATCCGTCGGCGGCGCAGGAGGCAGCGGACATGCGCACTGCGGACACCGGCAGAGTTTTTTTTTTTTTTTTTTTTTTCCTTTTCCTTTTTGTTTTTTTTTTAAGGGTCTCAGTTGAATGAAGAGATGCTGAATGGAGAAGATGAAGTCACAGAGGATTAAAAAAAAGATGCATAAAACACTCTGCGGTAAAATGGAAAACACAATAACTTTTTAACGTTTGCACTTAGAAATGGACTGGCACCGGCACAAAGACGTGGAGGTTATACTTAATCCTGGTGCACATCTGAGCTCTGGTGTCACGTTATAGCCAAGCACCGAAGTGGTGTAATGTAAGTTTTGCCCAAAAAAACAGTACTTAAGTGCAACTTTAAAGTACTTTATTGTTTTTTTTTTTTTTATAGCATACTGATCAAAAATATAAGTGCAGTATGTAATAGCTGATCATCCATCCATCCATTTTCTATACACCGCTTAATCCTCATTAGGGTCGTGGGGGGGCTGGAGCCTATCCCAGCCGACTTAGGGCGAAGGCAGGGGACACCCTGGACAGGTCGCCAGTCCATCGCAGGGCCACACTTAGAGACAGACAACCAAGCACACTCACATTCACACCTACGGACAATTTAGAATCACCAATTAACCTCAACATGTTTTTGGACTGTGGGAGGAAGCCGGAGAACCCGGAGAGAACCCACGCTGCATGGGGAGAACATGCAAACTCCAATAGCTGATCAAATTCTGTTAATTTGATACAGAACCATCAAATGCAGAACCAACAGACTGAGAAACTCTTTCACCTCATCTACCCTTGTTTACTGCAAGAGACTGAAATCTGTATGCACTGATCACTTTCTGTCCCTTTACAGTCATTTTCAATCTTTTAGTTTGACAATCTTGTCTATTTATTGATTACAATTTTTACTGAAGAGTTGCAACATGCAATGACAAAAAAAGGTTAATAAGTATTAGGGCTGCAAGGTGGCACAGTGGTTAGCTCTGTTGCCTCGCAGCAAGAATGTCGCTGTTTCACATCCCGGTGGGGGCACCAGGATCTTTCTGCGTGGAGTTTGCATGTTCTCCCCGTGCAGTGTGGGAGTTCTCCGGGTTCTCTGGCTTCCTCCCCCACAGTCCAAAAACATGTTGAGGTTAATTGGTGATTCTAAATTGTCCGTATATGTAAATGTGAGTGTGCTTGGTTGTCTGTCTCTAAGTGTAGCCCTGTGATAGACTGGTGACCTGTCCAGGGTGTCCCCTGCCTTCGCCCTAAGTCAGCTGGGATAGGCTCCAGCCCCCCAGCGACCCTAGTGAGGATTAAGCGGTGTATAGATAATGGATGGATGGATGGATGGATGACTGGAATAAATATTAGTTATTCCGATGCATGCCATCTCAACAACTGAATGAATGCCAGGAAACAGCCAAGTAAGCACCATGTTGGAAATGATAATGGAAGAAGTGGTGAGTCAGGCTGCTGACGCTGCTTGTGGAATGTCTTCCAGCTTTTCCTGAAAGGCTTGGTGAAGTTGGCAGACATGTCTGGGGGACAAGATGACATTGTCAGACACATCCATTAAGGGGAGAAACACTTCCCTACAGTTGTGGACATTAAAGTGTCTGATTACGTCTCAAACTGACCTGCTAGCATCCAGAATGCTCACAGCTCATCCTCGACTTACCTTTTGTTGTCTGTGGCATCATGTCATTTGAATAAAGCTGCATTTTGAGGTGGACTTCTATAGTCACTGGTCGAACAATCATTGTCCTTAAAAGCCACATTTGACCAAGGTGTGGATTAACTCAATGCTTGAGAATTTGTGAAAAGGTTTTTGTGCACAACTGACTAAATTGAGCCCCCTTTCTTACTTTAACAGCAGAAATGAGATCTGTAACCTTTTAGTCTCGGTCACAAAAGAAGACCATTTCTGGGCTGCATTTATATTTTTCTTCAGTGTATTAAAGTGGAGTAAAGTAAATTTACTCAAGAAAATTACTCAAGTGCAACTTTGAAGTACTTTATCATGACTTCATTTGATCTCAAAGGGAATAGTTTTCAGTCCCCTGTATTTATGGAGGAAGCTCTATTTGACATTTACAATGTACATAAAACTTAGGTCTTAGCAATTTGACATATTATTAGTTATTATAGCTCTTCACTGTGATCCAATAAGGTTGTTTCTGCTGCATGTACAGGAGTCTAGTTATTTTGCAGATACATAGATTTTGCTCAAAGTGACATTTATTGAACTACTTTTATGGTACGACTCCTACTTGATTATAGGTGAGGTTTCCTGCTGAGATTTTGTAAAGTATGATTTATTGTACCTTCAGTTTTACGGTCTGTGTAGGCTTTTTGCAGCAGGATTTCTACTGATCTGGTAAAATACGTCACCTTTATACAGTAAACACAGACTCAGTAAAACCCAGTAGCCGTGTTCTCCAGTCCCACCCACACCCTGTAAGATTTATAAATTATGCAATGTGCTTTCACTCCTCATAAGGCAAACCAGCTGTCCCCAACACAGGAATCCCCTTTTACTGTAACCCCCTCTGGAGAGTTCCCCTACAGTACAACTCATAACTCACGTAATGAATGTTAGTTTCTTTGTGTGTGTGTGTGTGTGTGTGTGTACATCCTAGTCGTGCCTTCTATCATTACACACATCACATTCCAGCATTACAACCAGCCGTACCCCCTCCATCCCCTCTGCTGCTGCTGCATCCCTCCTGTTTCCAGCTTCTTTCCAATGGAACTTCCTATATAAGGACACTGTTCTATTTGCTACAATAAATCAAGCCGCTGGTTGATAGCCACGGCCTGTTTCGTGCCAGAAGCATAGCGCTGCGCTGATATGCAAGAGTGTGTGTGTGTGCACGAAACCTGATGACAGACCAATACGGAGGATCTTCAGGCTCCTTCTGGTCAACATCATGGAGGAGGCGACGGCATTCGTGAAGGAGAAACCCAGGTTGAAAAACTCAGGGGAGACAGGATGAGGGACAAGTTAGAGGGAGGGATGAGGAGCGAGACGAGGAGGAGGATGAAGAGGAGGGAAAGAAAGCAGCAGATACACTGAACAGAGAGGTTGCAGTGTGTGCCATATAAGGAGAGTGGGGTCTGTGTGGAATCTCGGCAGCTTTCTGTGTTACTTTCAAAGTGTAGCACAGTCAACCAGCGCAGGCCCCGGTGACTAAATATGGTCCAACAGCAATAGCATTGTTCAAACAAAGTTGCTTCTATGGGTATAACTCTCATTATTTACCTGTAGTTGGCTGTGACACAAAAGTAGTTTATTAGTCTGCAACACATAAAAGAATATCTTGCAGAAGAGCGGTGCACAGAATGCTGTATATATGTATGTCATGTTATGTGTACACTCTTAGATCATTTTTGCATCTAATTTGATTTACTCCACAGTAATCCCCACCGGTTTATTACAGGATCATTACTTCATAGCTAGTGTCCGTAAAAATGCCACTTTAATCATTCTCCTTAACCCCTTAAGCCTTATAGGCAATTTTTTTGAAATTTACACCTGAAATAACATCCTCCAAATCCGCAAAACTGTACGGCTGAAATGAACGCCCTAGGGCTCTACGGATCAGAAACACCTGGGAGAACTTTAAAACACAGTAAGTCTCCTCATCCTTGTTAGAGTGACAACAAAAACTGACATTTTTTACTTCCACCTAATCAAAGCTGTAAATTAGGGACTAATAAACAACCTGAGTGAGCAACACTGATGTAACTGAAATGATTTTTATCTCTTCAAATTTGATGCAACTAAAATGAAGCACAAGAGCAACATGCACTTAAGTCATAGGTTACTGTGTCTTTTAACATTTCTTCATATAGAGTGGAAGTGGTTTATGTAGTGTATGGCAATGTATGGAAGGAAAAGGGAGGAGAGAAACCTAAAAACAAAATGCTGGAAGTCAAAGTAGAGGGGCACGATATGCTGACAAAATGAGTCCATCTTAAGCTTTAGCCAAAACATTCGTCCTCCCTCAGTTATCTGAGCCGCAGAATCAAGTCTGAGTAGTTCCTCAGAGCAATTAATAAAGATTTGAGAAGGCCATAGTGCCCATGAAGAGGCTGGTGGGAGTGAGCATGGATAGAAACTCTGCTGGTGACATCAGCTGTAGTCACTCGGAAAAAAAATAGACAGGATTTGTTTTTTTGAGAATACATTAAAATTAAGCATCAATCTTATGTGTTTTATTTTAAAAACTGCAACTAAACTGCGTGACCCGCATTCATCCAGCTCACCGCTCAATCTAAACAAGGCAAAAATGACTAAAACAGTTGACGACAAACCTGCTAACTGTCCCTCAACACAATGCAGCAGTAATAATATACACTAACATTGACCCACAATGCAGAAATCTCTTACATACGGCCTGTTTAATGTTTTTTCTTCCCCCTCATGCCCATAGATGGCCATCTATTGGAGAGAAAATATGTTTATGGATATGTTTGACCCGCGTGGAATGCAATTGCATTCTAATTTGAGCCCAGGGGCAAACATCAGTTCGCTCTGCTGCAGTCGAAAAAGACCACAGCATTCAATAGTATTTATACAGCTGTCTCGTTTACACACAACTAATTTATACAGCGGAGGAGAAATGCTACCTATTCTGGGGCAAACTGCCAACTGAACTAATCGTGTGCCATTGTTCAACTTCCTCTGCTTATATAGCCATTTTTAAGCGAACACTTGTATCTGGTGCCAATGAACCTGGCACCTGACTGCCACAGTATTAATGGACAGAACAGTTTTGCTCTAAGAAAGTGACGTACATTCAGACCCTTCCAGATGAAGCAAGCTAATTCTACATGCATTAAACATAATGTCTTCTCTAATGGGGCTGAGAAATAATAAATTAGGGCACTATTTAACATAAAGTGTACATTATATCTTGCTTTAGAAACTGCAGTGAAGGTAAATTGTTCCATTTCACCTTTACAGCTCCATCAGAGCCGTGCGTAAACTCAGCAAAAACACACCCGTCTGCTAAATATTGTGACCTCATTCTTATAATGGACTAATCTAAGCGCCATGATCTCACTAAAGCCTGTACAATCAAGAATGAGAGATGCAAATATGGTAGACAGGATAAATAAACTAGTAAAACCTAAAAATAACCTGAACGTGGATTAAGTTAGAGATGGTAGAAATGGTGGGAGTCAGTGCCCAGCATCGCTAATCAGGATGGGAAATAAATGGTGGGTCTGCGGATAATCAGTTCCAGAAACTTTGGGGTTTAAGTTGAGATAACAATGTCAAGTTCCCTTAAATGGTGAGAGAGGAAGTGAGATGCGAAAAGTCTTGATGTATTAGATGTTTGTGCTTCTAGCTGGGGATTTGGGCTGCACAGACATGATAGTTCTGTTTAGTGTGTACGTATTTCTGTTGATTCAAGGTGTCTGCATCATTTTATGACTCTATTTACTGAACAATTACCCCTTTAATTATTGATTTATTGTCTAAAAAACTAAAAATACAGAAGTGATAGAACTTCCTCGCCTGTCCTCTGAGGCTGCAAAGAAACATATGAGAAAATGAAGCAAACAGGCAGGAGAGTAGCTGCATAGACATCTATATGATGCATCATAAGTATGTGGATTATTATTTACTATGAGACCACAATGAGACACCTTTATGATCATAAGGTTTCCTTTTTAAAATAACCACAAGGGCGCCCAGAGAAAACAGCTGTCCGCTAACAGACCACATTTCTTTGATATGTGAGCTTTCAAACTAAGGCAAATACAATTTTGGTGACTACAGTGTCACCTAGTGGTCAAATAACACAAAATTGTATGAGCTTACTCAAAAACGGGTCTCAAGTCCATGTGTCGGGCTGCAAGGTGGCACAGTTGTTAGCTCTGTTGCCTCTCAGCAAGAAGGTCGTTGTTTCGCGTCCCGGTGGGGGCACCAGGATCTTTCTGCGTGGAGTTTGCATGTTCTCCCCGTGCAGTGTGGGAGTTCTCCGGGTTCTCTGGCTTCCTCCCACACAGTCCAAAAACATGTTGAGGTTAATTGGTGATTCTAAATTGTCCGTAGGTGTGAATGTGAGTGTGCTTGGTTGTCTGTCTCTAAGTGTAGCCCTGTGATAGACTGGCGACCTGTCCAGGGTGTCCCCTGCCTTCGCCCTAAGTCAGCTGGGATAGGCTCCAGCCTCCCTGCGACCCTAGTGAGGATTAAGTGGTGTACAGATAATGGATAAATGGATGGATGGAAGTCCGTGTACCAAGTTTAGCTTTGATTGATCAAAGTACTGCTGAGATATAAATGTAAATTCAGTGAAGCTTGATCTGAAGACCATCTCTGCCAATTTTTGTGAAACGTTTTAAACATTTTTGTTATCATCCGACCCACAGGAATCGTTAAACCGAGCTTGATCCAAGAAACTTAACAATACCTCATTATTGAAAACCAGACACTTACATGCATAAACTTCAACCAACTGGTGGCGCTACAGTGCTTCAAGTGCAAGCGCCAAAATTAAACACTTTCTTCCTTTGCCTGTGCTCAATGTCGCCAACAACTTTCATGACAATCAGCCTGGTAGCATTTCCATAAACCTGCTTACAGGCAAACAGAAACAAACGGTACCAAAAACAGACATGCATCACTTTGCATTAGCAAATGCATTTTAGACCGACTCAAGTGTAATGCTGCAGGAGCAAGGTTGGGTGTAGCTCCTGAGAACAACACAATGACTGCTAACATGTGGATACAATCACAGGAAAGTAACTCAGTGTTATTTTAGTCAACAATCAGGTGCAGCTGCATAGATTTGAAAACTACAAAAAGCAAAAGCTTAAATGTACGTACTTACAAATACATTTCTGACTACAAACAAAACAGTTTAGAAAACTTGCAAAACTCCACATCATCATATAAATGAAGTGATCATATAAAAGCATCTAAGCCCAAGTTAATGCATGCAGTTGAATTAAAAGCACACTAGTCGTTGCCGCAGCTTAATTTGTGACTTTTATGATTAAAGCCTAACCCTTAATGCAATATAATGCATTCTTGTTTCTCTATCAAATTTTCACTTTTTTTTTTTGTTTTTAAGATTATCCTAGAAGTTTATGCAATCATGTTTTTTCAGGCACTTTTCTTCAATCAACCTCATGTTTTACTATTTTAAAGCCTTGAAAGGACAGGGGGAGGCATAAAAATACTATTTTTATGCTCAAAACTACATGTTAATAAAGGACAGTGGCAATAATGTAACAACTAAGCATCACTGTTCCTGTAGCAGCTTCAGCCTTATCTGAGGTGACACTGCCACCATATGGCTCCCAATGCAAATAGCACTTGCATAAATAACAGATTTGATTAGATGTTTAAATAGAAAAAAATATTTATTTTTAAGCTGTAAAGACAGTATAAAATATAAAACATTTACAAAACTTAATAGTAACTGCAACAAGGAATGTAGTTTTCAACTGCATACCCAAATTATTGAGAGAACAAACATAATGGAGCACTGCAAACAGCACCACTATGACTAGAACTTACTGGTAAAGTCATTGAAATCAAAACCTTCAAAAAATAATTCATAAAAACTCTAGAAATAAAAATTAGGCTTAGCAGGATCCATATACTCTGTGCTGTAAATAATGTGGAAAACTGTGAAAAACTATGGACAAGATTCTGAGAGGAGGCAAAAGGGTGAATCTCATGAAGTGCTGCAACATTTTATGTCATCTATCGAAGTGTTAAAGCCTCTTTTCAGTCCATGAGCATCATAAGTCACTAGCGCATCATCAGATTTTAGGCATCAGGTCCAGGAGCTGCGTTGTTGGCAGCAGCACCTCGTAGAAACACCTTCCCTCCACTGTCACTGCTGTTCAGAAAGTGGGACAACAAGCCATAAAGAAGAGGTCTGCAAAGCAAAATGTGAATAAATTACCTTTTACATTTTGAACATTTTGGTGCTTTTCATTACTAAAGATGGAGAGAAAGAGAGAGAAAATGTGTGTCCTGATACGTTTCTAGGCCAGAATTAAAATCCCTGGTCATTATAGCCGCAGTGCTACACAACGACTCACCAGTGATTGTTTTAATTGTGTGTGTGTTTCCCTGGTGGTACACAGAGACAAGAGTGAAGACACAGTGATAGCAAAGGGACACTAGCCGGAGTACAATCCTTTAACATCTGCTGAGCCAAGATTGCTAAACTAAACCCCCTGAGAAACGCTGACTTTCACAACACAAACTCTCCAAAACAGCATTGGGCTGAAGCTGAAATTTCTAAACATTTCTCTGCGTTTCAAGATGAAAGTATGATGACATCACCAAGAGATTATGATTACCCCCAAACCGAACACACCCCGGAGAGTCTTTGAACACTGTGTTCAACTACAGGCTGCACTGGAATTTCCCAGAAATCCTGGTTTGCACACTTACACAGACTTGGAGCTCGTATCCTCTGTAACTTTTAGTTCATTTGCCAGGAACTGTCTGTCCAAGGGAACTTCAGGTTGGCCTGATTCTGAGAAAACAAACAGCTGAGTTTAGAAATAGTACACTTGGCTTGAACAGCAGTGGTGTAAAGTAACTAAATAAATGTACTCCAACACTGTACTTAAGTACAATTCTACTAAGTACAAGACAAATTTACACATGTACTTTTTTATAAGTACAATTCTACCTCTACAACTTAAGTACAATGTAAGAGTCTTATTTGTAACCAAGTATTTCTAAATATTGCCACTTTTAGTAAAGTAAGAGAGCTATAAACATTTGTACAATAATTTAAATGAGAGTCTTTACCAAGTTTAATACTGCTGCTTCTACCTGAAAGATTGGCCTCTTTTCACTCATTCACCATAAAAGATCAATCTAATAAAGCCACAAAGATCATATTTACAACTAACCATTAATGAAAATAAAGCCATATCACATTCATTTAAGCTGCTGATAAATCCAGTGCATTAATAAAAGATGAATTTTACTCTCAGCTTGCAGTGCTTGTGCAGTGATCTCTTCACCTACCTGCTGTTAGCACCGACGCCGTGTATCTGTACTTGTTGAACTCCAGATACTCCCGGATGAGCTCGTTGATGAGCAGGTTTTCATGTAACAGCGGCGGCCGCGGTTCTCTCTGGTCATTCAAGGCGCTGAACACCTCCGCCCGGATACGAGCCTTCAGCTGGCCCAGCACCCCACGGGCCTCCAGCGTCTCCTTCACGGCTTGATACATAATCAGATATTTAAAATACTACAAGACTCACGTAGCAAAACTGCCCATCTGAGGACTGTAAGCGTGACATTTATTTTAAAATAGTAAAACCAGCTAATAATTGCAATTAAGTCTGTTCGTTGTCAAGCACGCCGTACCCCATTCAATATTTCGCGAATTTAACATTCACTTAGGTATGTTTACACCTCTTGAACTCTTTGGAGATCGCTCATACTCGTATTTTATTCACTTTAAGCTACTCTTCAAATCGTAACAGATGCGATTAGGTAAGTCATCTCCATTTCAAAGCAATGTTTATTAACTTTTGCCACCACGCGTGCTAGTTCGCTTAACCCCAAGCTAGCTAACGAGCAACTGTTAGCAACGGAAGCGTTAGCGAGCAGAAAGAGATTCACAGAAAGCCACAATTGCGTAAAATATAGAGCATGTTTAATTCTGCCGAATTGAAATATGGAGTTTAACATTAAATAATATGTGGGTAATTTTAGGCTACCGTTTTCCAGAAAGCTTAGATCACTTAAGCTAACTAAATTGTCGTGCTTTTGAATGGAGTTTCGTACAGGAGGTGTCACGTTGTTGTGGTCAATGTAATGTTAGCCGGACAGTTTTGGCAATTTTAAGTTTTACCGTGACGTCTATGTAGTTTGATTTACGATTTAAATAAGTATTTAAGCAACAAAATGACGGTAATGATAGTGAATTCTTACCACACTTCAGTTCAGCGACGGTCGCCATTGCAACTAGTGTAAACAAACGACTGTGTGCTACTATTCACAGACTCCTGCCATCTAGTGGCTGAGCCCAGTAACTACAACTAAGTAGCTCATGAGACCCCAAACAAGTGTTTAGTTTCTTCCAACAATTTAATGTTACATATTAGATAATTTTACTCTAAACAATATTTTTCTTGTATAGAATTAGAATTATTAGAGGATAATTCAAGCTCATGCTTTGTTGTCTGCATTGAAATACCTCTGGATAATCGCTGACAAAAAAAACCCCAACAAAAACATAAACATGGGGAAAGAAACCAAAAGTCTCAAGTTTTAACTTGTCAAATTAAAAAAATAAAAAATAAATAAAAATACATATATAAATAAGAAAGTGTCAAGTATGCCAGTGCCTGATAACATTAAATTCTTAATTCTTAGGTGTGTGCATGGAAAGGACTTGACCTGATAGCAATATCATCATTATCATTACTCACGTTAGTCTGCCACAATATCTGGTTAATATTTTTATTCAGCAAATCACTGTAAGCTATATAGTCACTTTTTTGGTCTCTTGATTTTATAATTTGCTCATGCAGACAAGACAGTCACGTAAAAGTACACTACAGCTCATATACACTATAATAAGCTGTTTTATGTAACCCTCAGATAATTAAAACTAAAGTAATGCGTTTTTAATCGTTGATAAACCTCATGAGGTCATTACAATTTAATTACATAAGGTAAATAACATTTAAGACACTGAAATAAAAAAGTGTACTTGTTCTGCTCAGGGCCTAGTTGAGACATCACGCAATTTCTATCCAGCCTTTTGTTTTTGCATTTTAGAATAGAATAGAATATCGTCGTTGCTGTTTGCAACTACATTGGTCAATCGTTTAGTGCATAATGAATAAATGCAAAGTGCATAGATAGTTGTCGGTACTCAGGTTCAGGCAGTTGGCTGAGTGTTTGACCACTTTTCTTTCTTTTGGGTGAAGGTTCAGGGTCAGATTTAATCTCTACAGTCTTTAAGAGTCTGTACAAGAGCTTCTTAAGCTAAACCTAAATCTTAAACACTAACTGATGAAAACATGTACAAACAGATTCTTTTTTTTTTTTTTTACCTGTAAAAAAAAAAAATAGTGTCCTTTCCATACTGTCGGTGCACGTTGCAGTGACAATAATGTGAAATCTTTGAATCATTACATTATATTTGGTTGAAATGGGCCATCTTTGTGCCGCTGAAGTGCAGCTGTATAGGAACAACAGCTGCACAGAAAAAGCTGCAAAAAAATTCTGCAAGAAAAATAGTAGTTACTGAATATAACTTTAGATCTATGAGTATTTGTAGCCCTCTAACAGGCTTCACTATTGGGTGTGTGTGTGTGTGTGGCCAGATTGTAGTCTGTGGCAGCAGTGGCCACCCCCTTTGGGGACCACTTTACTGGCACATGCGTTCCATTTCTGTCTTCAAACTTCTACCAGTTCAATACTAGCCTACATATTGAATCAGTTTATTGTTAACACTATTTTTATTGTATAGGACTCCAATTAATATAAGATAAATTAAGCTCATACCCAGTTGTATGCATAAAAATACCTCTGGATAAGTGCTGATATGACTTGAATTCCTTAAGATTGAAGATGACACAAGAAAGCAAAAGTTTTGGCTTTTTTAAATGCAGGAATCATAATAAATGTATATGACCTTGTCAGTTATGGCTTGCCTTGTACAGTATTCCATAATTAGGCATATGTGTGCAGAGGACTTGATTTCAGGTATGTTCAAAAAGCACAGTTAGCACAGCTGTTTAAGAAATATACTCCTGTCCTGTGTCGTTTTAATGTGCAGCCCTCAGTTGCTGACAGACTTGAGGTTTGTCTTGTAATTTGATTATAAAGATTTTTTCCCAATCTCTGATAATAATATATACAACTAAAACATCACTACAGTTGTCTGGTGTTTGTTGAAGCTGTGTTGATACTTCTGTAGCACTTTTTGTTTGCTGCATCTATTTTCATTTAAGTGACATTTGAAGCCCCAAACTTACTTAAAAAGTGTGAAGTCAAACACAACAATAGATTCAAATAAACTTTATTGTCCAGCATGATGTATGGAACAAGACAGTACATTAAACAGTAAAAGGTCAGTGAAAATGATCAAGCTTGTTATAAAAAGTATAAATATAATATAATCCTCATTTTTTTAAGGACACTAAATACATTTCTGTCATATGACATAAATAAACACTTGGGTTTCTCTCAGAATATATTGTCTAAACCAGTAAGACAAAAACAGTAAATGCTTCTTCTCTTTGAAAAGTTCATAGGGTTCTTTCTTTGAATCGAGAATAAAGGTCAACATGGACTATTTACAGTCTGTTATGTCAGCACCATAAGAACAATACTGATATTTATCTTCTCTGCGTCTGTGTGTATGGCCTGAGTGTGGTGGTGGCTGAGAGACAATCACATAAAGATTTATCACCATTGTTTTCAAGAGGCATTCTTGTCATTCATGGTGGTTTTCACTACCGGTGTCAGGTTAAATCTGACCAGCAAGGTCTCTATTGACTTTTTTATGTGTTTACTTTGACAGAAATAAACAACAGCCACAACATAGTTGGACGAGTGCTAATGTCTTGGCTCACTTCAATGTTTTCCTCTTTTTTTTCCTCCCTGACATATAAAAAGTCCAAATTGGCTGCCTCCAGCTCAGATTTTGAAGGCTGTGAAAACCTCACTTCCCCTGCGTTTGCCAGCATGAACCTTTTGAAGGTTAGTGTGTCAGAGTATTTCCTGTCCCAGTTTCTGGGACAAGAACACAAAATAGATTTCTATCAATTTACAGTTACAAAACTGCCTCTTTTTCCATATACGAGGCTAAAAAAAGTGTGAGTAAACCATCAACATTTAAGCCTGAGACAACATAAAAAAAATATGTCATGTGCTTTATACACACTTACAAAAACTACAAAAATAATATAGCTCCCATCCTTAAAGAGAATGAAAATCCTTTAGATTTGTGGTGCTCTTTCATTCCAGCCTTTGGCATAATCCTTTAATGGAATAAACGGACTCCACTACTCTATATACAATTATTTATAGCTTGGAGACTCTCAACAAGCCACTATAGCTTCTTTTGAATGTTCATCGTCTGAGGTTAACAATGTCTTTTCCTGATTAGGATATCGTGTCTGTGTGATTAAGAAACCAAGAAATACTGTAGAGACTGCGTCAGCAGCTGTTTATGAGATTCATCGACAATGCCCTCGTGGAGAGGTGTTTTGAGCTGCCACAAAGCTTGGAATGGCCCGATTTAATTTGCGTTTGAGAGCCATAAAAATAAGGTGCACCAGGTCATCGGTTCCATGGAACGAGGCCCGGTAGAGAACTAAACCAGGCCGGCCTCCCGGCACATTCGGTAGAACTGTCCCCGCTGTGAGATGAGGTTGGCTGGAGAGTCCATCTCGGAGATATGGCCTCTGTCCATGACAATCACTCTGTGAAGCAGCAAAGACAAGAGCGACACGAGTTTAGTATTTTCATTGCACGTGATACATGTGTGCATAAATGCAGGGGGGACAGAGTGTTTAGGCCCTCAGCTGTAATTGCAGGGTCCCAATTACGAATGAATTCTTTTAGAAAATCATTTCATTTCCTGTATCTGTTTTGACTTAAAAATGATGGATAAAAAATAATGACAAATGTCCATTATATGGTTCCTGAGCAATTATTTTGCCTGACAAAAAATCTGCAGGAGTTCAGGCTACAGTGTTATGAAACAAATAAAAGCAGTAAATCCTCACATTAGAGAAGCCATAAACAAGGAACAAGTTACATTTTTAATCAATAAATTACTTGAAATGAATGACCCAAATTGCCCCTGATTAGTTTTAAATGCGTGATGGATGATGTGGTGGATAATATTGTACCTAGTGTAGTCCATGATAGTGTTAAGGCGGTGAGCGATGGTCAACACAGTGCAGTCCTCAAACTGTGTGCGGATTGTTGACTGGATAAGCGTGTCAGTCTCCAGGTCCACAGCAGCTGTTGCTTCATCCAAAACCAGGATCTTGGTTTTCCTCAGCAGGGCCCTGGCAAGGCACACGAGCTGACGCTGACCCAGACTACACAGACAAAGGGGAGGAAGGCAGGGATAGAATCACATACTGCACACGGACTCGACGTATCCAGATATGTTTATCATAATTTACTGCGCAGAACAATGGCTTGCGTTTTGTCTGCATTGCGACGTGTCATATCAGCGCAGCCGTGTTTACCTGAGGTTTTCTCCTCCCTCCGAGCATTCATGGTTGAGTTTGTCAGGGAGATTAGACACAAAGTTTTTCAGGTGAGCGAGCTCCAGTGAACTCCAAACCTCCTCGTCTGTGTAGGAATCGAAGGGGTCAAGGTTCATCCGGAGGGAGCCTGAGAACAGCACAGGGTCCTGAAGGAGAAGACAGCAGATGTTACTCATCAGCAAACTGTCCAGGTTGGTAATTATTACAACTTCAAATGTCTCTTTTAACAACTGGAAACAGATTGCAACTACTGCAAACTGTTTACGTGATGAAAGACAGAACTCAGTGCCCGTTATTGTTACTGGTGTACCTGAGGAATGATAGTAATGCGTGATCTGAGGTCATGGAGTCCAATTTCAGCGATGTTGACTCCATCTATAAAAATCTTTCCCTTTGCTGCCTCTAAGATCCTGAAAATTCCCAGGGCAAGTGAGGACTTTCCGGCTCCTGTTCTGCCCACAATCCCAACCTAAAAAAAAACAAACAAAAAACAAAAAACTGTCAGAATTTATGTATGAGATAGTTCTGCGATTCAACTGTTTAAGACTGGTGAAGATTGCAAATCATTTTTTATATCCCACAAGATGAATCACCTTCTCTCTTTCTTGAATTTGCAAGCTAATGCCTTTCAGAGCCAACTCAAGGCCTTTACGGTACTGCAGCCCGTAGTCCTGGAACTCAATAGTGCCTTTCTGGGGCCAAGCCAGGGGCAAGGAGCTGCCCTCTATACTCCAACTGGCCTGTATGGGACAATAACAAAGGGTGA